GCTTCACAAAMCTGAATGGAGTCATTGAGGCAAGTTCTTCTTGAGCAGGATGAGAAATAGCAGGAGAAATAAATACTCTCCAACTACAGAAAAACCAAGTTAACATTTCAGTAATCTGAACTGAAGGAACATTGACAAACATCACATTCAAAAGTCTCCCTCACATGTCTAACTCATCAAAAGCTGCCCGGGCTAATGTAACAGACAYGAATTGATAGTGGAGCTGGCAGATTGCCTGATGAAGGACTAAACCARAAAGCCCTCTAGGAAAGAGAAAGGGGCTAATTCAATGTGCTTCCAAAGGGCTYTGGCAGAATGAGCCTGAATATGAACGCTGGGTCATTTTGAGTGATGGAGAAAAAAATTGTGTCAGCCTCTAAAATGAACCAGAGGAGAAAGATCAATCTCAAGAAAGCTGCACATRAGAGTTTATACACTCTCAGGCAGAAATAAGGCTTGGAATGAAGAGGTGGTGCTTGAGAGGCATTTGAATAGCTGCAAACCTGAGCAGACTTGCAAGTAAAGGGATACAGGAACCAACTGAAAGCTCCAGCAGTCAGCTCATAAAGTCAATTAGCAAATGGAAACCCAAACACTGATACTTCCATAGCTGGGTTTATTACATGCTTATTTTGATAGGCACTAAACTCACTCCATATAATGYAAAAGGCACTGACAACCCTGAGTAATGAATCCCTGAGGAACATAATACAGTTGCTCACAGCAGCGGAAACTAAGATACATTACAGGCAGCCTGAAGAACAGTCATTATTTTCTGATCAGTGATAGCTGCAGCACCAGCATTCTCCCATCCARCCTCTGGAGTTTCTGACCCTCTTAATCCACCCCTGTCACACAATCATAACCTTACAATACGGAGAGTGAGATAAACACAGTAATAAATGGCAGGAATGACTTTATCATCAACAAAATCTAGGCTAATCATACTCTCGAGACATCTCTGCACAGTGTATTTTCATTTTTCCATTAAACTTGACTCAAACATCAGGGGAGGTTATGAAACTGAAGAAAAATATCTGGAAAATAAATGCAATACAACTGAACAGGTGATTTCCTGAATTTAAGAAAGCACAAAATTGGTCCTCAAAATCAAGAAATTAAGGATTAAGATTTGCGAAATATCTTTGGAATAAAAGAGAATCATTATTGAGAGGACTGTTTGAGTGAAGACCCAAATTCCTCTTGCAGTTTAGTGACCAGGCCAGACCCATCGGTCACAGTAGGTGACATCGCCTAAAGAAGCTGCCACTTTAAAATAAGCCACATTTCWGGCAGAAAGCATGTTAAGTAGAATGTCCAGAAATTAATTCATGTTTTCATTAAATACAGATTACATTCTCCTCCCAGAAACTACTAATTTTGTCCTCTACCACAAAAAGGAATCGTTTCAATAGAGAAAGTTGTATAACCAACACAGTGAAAAAAATGAACCATCTTGTTTTCTGCAAGAAAARAGGAAGATCTTTGGTGTAGCAAGCTCTACAAAACCTTGACTGAATTTCYTCCTAATGCCAAAAGAATAAAATAAAAAAGTCAGTCTGACAGGCATTAATATTTACAGGGTGCTCTCAGAACAGAGTGACATTAGGCAGTGTTTGCATGCTGATCTTGCGAAAATTTGAGAGCGACCACATTGGGGTTCTTCCTGCTCAGGAAATTAGTTAATCATATTTGACATTTGCTAGAGCCACAGAACCCAGGGAAGAGAATTGTACCTGACATATTTTAAAAAGRAGGGAAAAAAATAATCAGAACATCACAAATAAATTTCAAGGCTGGTTTCAAATAGAAAAAAGCACCACAGTGGCATGTACAGAAAATAGCACCCAAGAAAAGATAAACTAGCAATGAAACAGCAAGGGTGTGATAGGTAATAAACCAAAAGCATTCAGTTTGGAGGGCACAAGGAATTGATTGTTTTTGTAACAGCCATAGATTAAATTACATTTCATTTCCAAAGTGTTTCAATTCTTTCTTCTGTCAATGGCTATTTCAGAGCTGAATAAAAGTCATTATATTACTTAGGGGGCTGCACCTTCATCATCTCCAGCAAGGAAAAAGCGGATTTTATTCCATGAGCAACTCATATTTCAAATGACACGCATGCCATAAYGCTATGATTTCTTTATCAAAAGAATAAAATGCTTATTTTCTGTCTTGAGATATGTAAGAAGCTAGGCATGTAAAYTCAAKAGATCACACTAGGACASAKARWMAACAGCAAYCAAGATACAAAGAAGTCCTTATTAYTGCTGGATTAATTAGCATTAATAAACTAGGCCATAAATATTTTTGACAGGACAGGAAAGCAGATCATTAGCATTTTTGAGATGATATAAATGATTTTCCTAAAACATGCTGAGCATTCCTGCTCCAAATGATCCTCCCAGCTTGCCATTATACCTCCAAACATCTGACATCCAGTGGAGAATAMCCAGCATTTACATGAGACTGAGACTCCCTTTTGCTCCTCCAATCTAAGGCAATTTGAAGAAGAATAAATTGCTAATAATTAACCAAACAGTGAAACTAAAACCTTTCTACTGCTATCAAGATTCCAAATTAGGCACAGAAAAATAGGAGTTTGCAAAGCCTTTTGCAATGGATTTTCTGTTGGAGGCATAACATACACAATGATTTGCATCAGTGATTATCTTAATTAAACTGCTGTTTACATAAGTAAGGTTGATTTACTTTACATGTTGTTCGGTGTCATTAGACCATTCATTTAATTGTGCACATTTCCTTTAGCTGGAGCCTTCTCCCACCTCCAGCAGGCTGTGAACAGCACCTCTGCTGCAAGGAGAGAATCCAGAGCAAGTTTAARACATTTCAGTCACACGAATCACTGGGTTTGCTCCAGCATGTCAATGGCCTGGGATGTTTGCCATCATCTACCCAAGCTTTAAAATCCATGAGAACAGCACTGCCACACAAACAGAGCAAAGAGCAGTACCTTTCATGGTATTCTATTCAATGTTTTAATTTCTTAATGACAAGGGAAACTTGAGTTCCACATTRAGTAACTTTAAAAATGGAAAAGATCAGTTCTGCTGTGGAAGAAAAAGCCACTGTATATATTTAAATAYATTGATTTGAACATGTATCACTGCAGATTTTCAATCACTAATTGCTGGCAGTACCAAGATAATTACTAGCAATCCCTGCACATAAAGACTGGAGTTGTGTTGGAAAAATTAAGAGATATGTATGGAATGATAAACTGATCTTATTTAGCTTAACTCTTTTTCAATATTATACAYCACATGATAGGAAGGAGGAAAGAAAAATCAAAACTGCGTGAAGATGAGGGAAAATTAAACTAAAAAAAATTCTGAGTGATTAATCTTTGCTGATAATGAAGTACTTCAGGATGACTTCTAAAACTCACTTTCATTTAGATGCCTCATTTATTTTAATCTGGGAGATAATTAGAAGGAAATCAAATCCATCTCCACAGCAGAATATTTACCTGAGATGCAGCTCAGACTTCTCAGTATTTCCCCTGTGTGTTCAAACTCTAYGTTACATATATTGCAAAAACTTTACTGAGATTAATGCCAGTTACTTAATTAGAATCAGAATTTGAGCCTATAAGGCTTGCTGCTGGTTAGCTGTCAGAAGAGCAATTCTTTCACATTTTTTTCTATCAACAGACCAAGTTTTGCTCAAGAAGTTCCAGACACCATCCCCATCAGTAAAAAGCACTCAGAAGCAGAGGAGGTAAATGTCAGTGGAAARGTGGGCAGCTGTCACACGAATCCAACAGGGCACAGGGCACTGCCCTTTGCAGGCTGACTTAGGGTGCAGACACAGAAATATTCATCAGACAGATATCTGTTAACCAGATTACCCTGCAAGAAAAGCTGCACCACTGAYGAATACTTGCTGTGAAGAGCCAGTGGTTTATCTCATCACCAACTAATCCTGTTAGGAATTATTTAGCACTCAAAATGTATCAGAGAAGAATCCTCAGTCGAATGAGCCTTCYGCACGCACTGGCGTCCTCCAGCAATTTATTTGTAATTATCATTTGCCTTTTTTCCATATCTAATATGTGGTTAATGAATGCCTGACATAATTTCAGCAGAAAAAAAAAGACATGACTAGTTACATAATTACAGGTTAAAAATGATCTTTTTCAGCTCCATGCACTGAAGTGATCTTAAGGGTAGAGGTTAAGTACAGGCAACACAGAGTATAAATTGCTTTGCAAAACGTTCTGTACACTGACCACAGCAACCTTTATGTGTGGCATTGCCTTTGAAGGAAGAGTTTGATCTTATAATAATATTAAAATAATATAGAACTTGTTAGCATTATCAGTCATGTCTTGTTCATGGGCCTCTGTCTACAAAAGGACAGCAAATTTGCATATGAAATCATTATAGAATGTGAATAACGTTTCAGGTTACCAGTAAGAGCCAAGAGAAGAACAAAACAGATATTCTAGCATGATAGCAAACCTATGAGCACAAATTTCTAGGGGAAAAAAATAAAAATTTTAAAAATCACCCTTTCATGTCTTCAAGGAACTGCTTAAAATAAAGTGTTTCATCAAAAAAAGAAGATATGATTTCTCTCAGCCTGATCCCCACCACAGGCATTCCTGTGCAAGCTGCTTCAGGCATTTCCTCTYATTTCTAGATCATAGATTTAACTCTGTTTATTATCACAGATTAAGGAAGCATTTTTAAAATACAATATTCATATTTTTCAACTCCAACGGGGCAATTAATTCAGAGTAATTTGTGACTTCCAAGCAAATTAATACTCAAATTTATGTCTCATGACTGTCTTGAATAAAAGAAGAGGCCTCAAGTGGGAGCACAAATAAAGAAATCTGAGTTACTAAACTGTTAAGAGTAAGATATTCCAGGGGAACTAGTATATCCTGATTTACAATCAGCTTTGGACCTACTCAGGAAAAAAAATATTCAAGGCAATGATGCAAAACCAAAGAAAATCAACACACTTACTGGGTATCTTTCCTCTTCTTTTTCTGAGGGTCCACCAGCCGCAGAGTGTCTCTGATGACAGCAACTTTCACTTCTTCATCAACAGGGCTTGGGACATTCTCAAATACTCCAGGAGAAAGCTTTACATCACAGAGGGATAGAATTATTCACCACAGAACTAAGGGTTACTTATTCCATGTTTGCTCAAACTTTATGCACAACATCTATATTTTAAATACACGATGATGGATTACAAAGTACTTCTTCAAGGATGCATAAATACCCTCATTTTTTCAGTATGATGTTACAACAAATTGGGGCAAATTTCTCTAGTAAACTGAAATATTAAAAAAAAGATTGTTGCCGATGTTACCATTTATATTATGTATACAAACATGAAAAAGATTATTAACAATCCCCTAAACACAATTAACGACTGCAGGAGATGATGAATAAATGCATTTATGACAGAGATGATGGAGAGCTTTCACAATTCCAATAAGTCATATTTCCAGTGTATAAGATTAGCAATGATTTCAAAGCAGAAAATTATAGAGAACCTTGGAGGTTTCATATTAGCAGACAGCTTTCATCTTTCAAACAAGGAAAAAAGCCCAGAAAACCCAACCTAAGCAATTTTATTCCAATATCACATTGAGAACTCTTACCTCTTGCTCGTGTTCTATTCTCATGCTGGGATTTGCATTTACTTCCAGTAACATGGGCTTCAAGTTTTTCATCAGGAGAATGTCAAACCCTAAAATCTGTGCATAACAAGCAATATGTTACTTCAGTTCTACAGAATGCAGTGTTTGTCCATATGGCAACACTGAGGAGGAAAAAACATGAGGGGCAGAAAAAAATAACAGAGAAACTCGACATAGCGCTGAATTTCCTGGCAGAAATTCCAACTTACCTGGAAACAAGTKGGCCCAGGCTTTCCTGCTGGTATGTCAGACTGATAGTAAACTTTCAGTTCTGGTGTCAGTGCAATAATTGTTTTAATCACCAATGAAATGATATCTGACCAGAGCTTTTTGACATCAGCTCCTCTGGAAGACAGTCTGCACARAATGCTTGAAAAAGTCCTCTTGCTGCCAGTGTTGACACTGTCAGAATGGATGAAATTCCCACTATGGATATTTAGTGAATAGTTGGTCAAGTGCATAAAAACCTGRTGCAAATTTTTGAGAGTGGGTTCTTGATAGGGCTCTGTACAAAACCTAGAAAGTCCATCTTTGGCTATATAAATCTCTAAGGGTTCTAAGGATTTCAGCAGGACGTAAAGACGAATATCAAATTTCAGTTTGTCCACGAGCAGTGGTTTGCAAATGTATTCCTGGAGCACAGCTGGCCGGCTCTGGATGCTCCCTGTCAGCCTGATGTCACTGGGGTCTTTGATGAGGTAGATTCCATCCCCCTGGCAGCCTCCATCAGGCTTCACAATAAACGTGGGCTTCCAGGACGGATCGCTGTCTTTCATCCTGCGAAACTGGAAGGAAAAGGATTCCAGTGAAAGGCACTAACTGGGAAGGGGAAAAAGGACTGATACTGTGAAAGTCAGTGAACAAAAAGAAATATAAATAGCATGATCACATCACCAGAGTAGTAAACACCTTGCAAAAAAAGGCAGAAGATAAAACAGTGCTGACAAGCACAAGSAGAAACAAAAAAGCATAAATAGGGAATTATTAGTAGAGATAAAAGGTTATTTTATTTAACAAGCCATTGTATAAATGATTTCAGGAACTTCTTCTAAATGTTCTTTACCAATTTACAGAAGGAAATGTAGTATATCTCGTGAGATCCACTTTAGTAATCACTAATGGATATGAAACTGCAAAGMTAAACTTTCATGCTGCATTTTGAACAACGACTGACAAAGACAATCATCAGCTTAAGGAACGGTGCCTTATTATTGAGGTATGAATGTAAATACTACCAGAAGAAGGAAAACGAAAGTAAAAATTTGGTATTGTGATCTTGGAGCAGAAATCTCTGCTGTGACATCAGGCTGCCCACCCCCAGGAAAGGCCCAGCTCTGCTTGCAGTGACATTCCAAGGCCCCAAGGACTTCTGGCTCCACCCTGCCCAGTTCTTTATGGCACTGAGAGTCACACTGCTAAAAGCTTTCCTACCAGCTGCAGCAGAAACTCAAGACCCATTATCCAGACTAGGATTTTTCTCACAGACAGGTGTCACACTGACTCAGTGAAAGATCCTTCTTCAAAATAGGTCACTTTGAGGGATAAAACGCCTCGGTGGAGGTCAGGCTTACATAAATGGCATGTGGATAAATAGGTCCAAGTAGATCAGCAGGCCTAGATGAGCAAAGAAGGAAAGCAGGATTTATGTCCTAGTCATTTTACCACTACAGAATAATCTCCCCCTGATGTGACATTACCCCGCAGAGCAGAGGAGCTCTCTGGTTCGCAGTTGTTGAAGTCAGCACCACAGAGAGAGACGTGGTTAATCTGAACCTTCCATGACCAAACACACCCTGCTGTGACTCCTGGGCACACACAAAGTCATGCCCTCCTGGGTAGAAAATAGTGAAGCACCTCTGTGACACCAGGTGGAACAATCTGCCTCCCTGTCCMATGACTGCTGTTCATCCCTCAAGCTACACCTACTCTGCTCCAGGAACACCTTTCCAAAAGGGGTGATGCTTCCCAGGAACTATTGCTGGAGATGCAAAAGAACCTGCCTTTAAAAAYGTTGCACTGTAACAATCACTGGTCTCTGTCAGCTCTCTTCTCATAAAATAGAAAGCAAAGCATGTTCTCCACCATTTTCTAATCCATTTTTTAATGGAYTAAAAGGCCTGGATATTATTTAGTCTTTCTAGTCCATCAAAACSTACACATTGCTGATGAAGATAGGCTGATGGGGAAAGGGGGAATAGTAATCCAGAGTCAGTCTCTTTTTCAGCAGATTTACTGTCTTGAAGAAAACAGATGGTTTCTTGATCWTCAAGGAAATTCCCAACAGTCATCTCCAAATTCTCCACAATCCCCTCAACCATACTCTTTCAAATTCTCATTATGAGGAGGCTTGTCCAGACTTAAAAAATTCAGTCATGTAGGAAAATTAATTTCTATGAAATGAGATATTTCTGTGTCCTTTGCTTGACAGAAAGAAATCATCTTTAAAAAACATGTTAACCATTTACAGTTAATAGCAAGAGGAGAGTTTGATGAAAACCTGCAGGTTTGGCTTTCATAAGGAAACACAGGCTGAATGAATATAGTATTCTGGAAAAAATGCATATAATGGGCTATAAGATCTGACAGCACAAAGACTAGAATATTCATGCCTATGCCTAAGAGGTATCCAAAAGCTGAAAACCTGATTAAACCACCAAAAATAYGCTGTGCTGGAAATTAGACTGTCCAAATTAGATTCTTATTAAAAATTAATCATACTGGCCTATTCATCATCCTCACAGACRACACAAAGAAGGAAGTACGGGAACAATCAAGGTCCTGGTTTGAATCCCAAGCTAGTTATTTTTAAGAAATTGGCATTTCATGTTAGAAGAAAGTCCTTAGCACACATATTCCAATAGATTCTTTCCTGCTAGTGAAGGAGCAATGACTGCAGCACCTGAGAGATAAAGATAAGCACCCATTTATCTGCAACTCATCTTCCATTACAGCGACATGCTAGTACAAAATGTTTTAGAAAGTAAAAAAWTGGTGAATATTGGAAACAGCTAAATGTATATTTACTTAGTAAAATGAACTTTTAAGCTCTTGATGAAAACACCTATCASCATCTCATTTCAATGTAAATGACACTAAGGGAACTACCTTTTGTTGGTATTTCCAAAATGAAGCTCATCCACCACAACTCCAGTGCAGTTTTCTCAATTACTGCCTTTCAAAGCACTGAAGATTAATATTAGATTACCTCTAGTGTTTTCTACTTGAATCTAGGTATAGGGGAAAGTGGGAAAAGCTGAGAGCATTTGATTTCATTATTGATACATATGTATGAAAAMGTTCACTATCATGACTACAGAAGTGAGGCACAATAAGGATATTTGAGAAAGAAATTGTTTTGAAATGTTGTAGTGCATTGGGGGAGGCAACGAGATTTAAATTCTCAAGTAGTTTCTTCTTTCAGTAATCATTTCTATTAAAGGCAAAATCTCCCAGGTGTTCATTTCTCATYCAGCCCTTTGTGACAAATTCTACACTACAAACAGCACCACACATCTTCTCATGGCTCACCTACACCCGCTCTGGCACTATCTGTCAGTGTGTAACTCAAAATTAACTTCTGCTAATTCACATATTCCAGTGTGTTCCAGTTCCTCCAGGGACATGTCTAACATGCAGGCACCACCAAAGCTGYTCCCACTTGTCTGCTGTGAACAAGCTGAAATGCAGTCTCAGAGAGCTGACGGTTTTGGCAGCAWTAGGGTTGCAAAGCAAACAAAACCCCATATGAACAAATAAACAGCAGAAAAGACTGGAGAACTCATGCTGAGAACTCACAAAACTGCAAGTGAAAAGTGCTCTGAACCTTTTATGGTTCACAGGGGATTTGGAATGGTTTGAGTTGTATTTTTTCTTGTTCTGGAGGGGTTACACTCCGAACTTGTGTTAAGTAGAACATAAACTCTTACAACATAAAATATAATGTTTGATAACAAGAACTATGCTTTTCTCCAACACAGATGGAAGAACATATGCAAAGGAAACTCCTAGGAGTGTGTTACTGGACATCTGTTCCTCTTGGAACACAAACGGCAGCGTTTGCAGCKCAGGCAGTGTGAGCAGAGCAGTGTTAACTCGCAGTGCCACCTGGTGCCAGCACATGGGGCTGAGAGTGTCACCTGCAGCTCAGTGCCTTCTCCTGCTCAGCCCGGCTTTGTGCTCCCAAAAGCATCCTCCTCAAAAATCTGCTCCAAGTTATGTGCACCCATCTACCTGTTGTTGCTAGCAGCKTGGATGATTTACTCTCCTTTTCCAGACTGGTTTTACAGCAGTGCCGTGGCAGTGACACAGCCCACTTGAAGAGTATTTATTAAAATATGCTCATTAATTCAATTGGATTATGGATATAGTAATTATCTGAAAAATTGCACCCAGTACAGGAGTCTGTTAAAGCCCAGACCTTTCTTCTCTYACGTTTCCAAGCAGAGATGTAGGATGCAAGAACACCCTGGGCAAGCCAGACAGGCTTAAACAAACATAGTATTTTAAAATATTTGTAATAACAGAACCAAACACCATTACACAGCATCACTCTTTTCCAAAAAAGCTGAAAAAGAATGGCATTTTCTTACATTCTGAATATTTAAACAAAACAGMAGTTTGACATGAGATGATGTGAGTGTATTTAACAACGCATGGTACAAAATGCTCTTCTGAAGGATTTGGGTACAACAGGCCAAGTGGACTAAAAGGATTTCAGTGACAATGAACCTGCTGAAGCACCACACTCCCCACACTGTACTGGAACCTTCTGAGGCCTATAGAACATGCAGGGAAAGGGCTTACAGTTCTACCAGGTTCAATTTTCAGACACCTGGCACAGCCGAGAAATAGATTTGTTTTGAAGTTTATTCCAGAGCACTGCAAACAAAGCTAACATCCAGACATCCAAACTATGACTGGGAAAGATTTCATCCACAGCCCCCAAATGTGATATGAAATAATCTGGTAGGTATAGAAAACTAAAGAATGACATGGATACAATATCCAACAAGTTGTAATATCCTGAGAGTAAAAGTTCTGTACCTCAGACACAAAGAGGGGAAGTTCTTCTGGCAGAATCCAGGATCGAGGGTAGAAGTTATATTCCAGAGGAAATAGATCTTGCATTGTTCTCATGGCCCGACTCAGGGTAATTTTCCGTACAGTCTCCATCATGCCTGGAAAAGAACAGACATAGTGACAAAAACCCACACTGAAGTGTCATCCTAACAGTGAATGCGTCATTTCAGAGTATCATTACTCACCCTGCTGGGAAGGCACTCTGGTCATTGCTGTCAATAAAGCTGAACATCTTTTCAGATTTAAAATCTGACACAGTAATTGTAGCATTCCCCTGCTATTGTATGTGTTACTCATATTAGAAAAAATTAATTCTCAGAAATACAGTTCTAAATAAAAAACTGAAAGCTTTACTCAAATATTAATTACTGCCTTTGCCATAATCCAAAATTATTTTTCTATTTTCTTCCACAAATAGGTAAAAATGTAACTTAAATATAATCAACCACTTAGTGTTTACTTTGCAATTATTTAAGTACCTGCATCTCAAAGAACAAGTTATTTTGTGAGCAGCCAAACAAACTCACATACATTTGCTTAAGTCTTTTATCCATTGGGAACATGACTAAGAAGCTCCTTTTATGGGAAAGTTTCTAGTAAAACCCTGCATCAAATCAACATTCCTGGAAATCAGGTCTGGTTCTGAAGGGCCGTGATTTGGTTCCTGTGCAGCCACTTATTCACCAGGTCAAAGCCAGAATATCTGACACTGATTTAAACCACCAGAAAACACGACCATCCTACACCTGAGTGGGAACTTCCCTCAGGCAGGAGAAAGTCAGGGTAAATAAAGCCTGGAGTTCGATATCTGAGGTTCTTACGCTCACAGCACACTAACAGCAGCCATAAATCTGAACTAAAGGGCTTAGATAAGTCAATACCTAAGCTCTTAGCTCTTATTTAGAGAGATCTCAACAGGGATTAAATGAGAAAAAAAGGAGCTTAAAAAAGTAGAAGAGTCATCATAAGATGAGGACTGACATGAACTCTTCAATATTAAAAAATCCATTTAAGGAATTCTGCTTCGAGCTTCTCCCTGAGATAAGCCAGGGTACRAAACAAAACAGATTCTTTCCCCTTTGAATCAAAACCAAATCCAAAGATACAGCACTGTTATCAGTGCCAGATAACGGACAGTAATTGCATACTTCACTTAAATTATAGCCTAACACTCTTCTTTTTCCTAACTTCACGTGTATGAAGTATTCTTCTCATCRAAACCACTTTCTCTCCAAAACAAATTTCAGTTCAGAAATTGTTCAAGACACCCACTCTGATACCCTTATCCCCTCAGCAGAAATCACCCACTAAATCCAACAATATGCCAAAAATACTATCAGCTGATTAGGCAGACAATTCACATTAAAAACCAGTAAAACACAGAACTAGGTCAAATAATCCGGTTTTTAAAGCACTTGTTTAAATTGGAAAGAGAAGTGAAGTACCTGGAAACTTGTTGACCTGCCCTGAGAAGATGTTGTTATCATGAAATGATACCCCATGCCAATAAATGTCACACGGCAAGCGGCGGCCAAATGGAAACTGCAAGAGACAGGAGACAAATTTTGAGCAATCTGGGAATACCTGTTYSTTCCTGTCTTCTTCAAACAGTCATYTTCAGCTAAAACCATTCAAGAACAGTCTTCTGACWGTTAAAAGAAAACAAGCTCTGTATTTTGGTTGCAAAACAGAATATTTGGACTTTAAAGTGAGAGGTATTTAAAAACCAAACCCAAATGACTGAATTGGTCTGAACAGAGAACCCCTGAGCTTCTGATCAAMCACAGCCAAGTTATAAATGTAAAATAGACACTCAAAGCAAGATATTTAAGTGAAATAACTCTATTATTCATTTCTATATATCCAGTTATAAGTATTAATTTCTACAGTATTAATTCCTTTCTGGTATTAATAGCCTGTAATTAAACTAAAAGCTTGCAGTTCAATTAATCATTTGTTGAGCATATATGTTTCAACTATTAAGAGCTAAGGCGATTATTTCAACAATATTAAGTATTCCTGGTTCTTTTCCCATTCACGCAAGATTTCACCACAAATTGGAAAACTGTTGTTTGTTTTCTATTATCAAAACGATCACCCTCTTTATAAGCAGCCTGAAGAGCTCAGAAGCAGCGCTGCCAATTACTGAGAGCAAGTTTCTAATGGTAATAAAGTGGTTTATAAAAAACCCAATTAGTTCTGTGAAAAGAAGGTGCTTTTCTTTTTCACGTTTATTCTCTTAGACGGGGCCCCATTTATCAATCCAAAAAACCCATTTTATCTGCAGCTCCACGAAGATGCCATTTAACTACCATATGGAATACAGTCACAGGAATAGCTTCTATTACYAGGCTACATCTTTTTCAAATAAATCTGCTATATTTAGCATTTTAGGACACATTTGCATTAAAGATCTACCACCCTCATCACCCAGTACCATTTACTTATTGAAAGAACCACAGTATTTTGCAGAAACTTCTTGTTCTTTACTTGAAATGTAATTTTTCTTGCTTTAAAATATTTCTTTAAGCAGTGGATTTTTTTTTGAGTATGACAGAAAAAAGAATTGCATAAACCTTTTGAGTGCATTACTTTATTTGCTACTTTAATTAAAATTTCAGTTTCCTCAGTAAATAGCCTTGAAAAATTAATTTAAAATGCTAATTGAGCAATGCATCCTTTCTGTTTCCTTACTTGCAGGGATGAGAAACCCAATTTAACWAGAGCCAGTGGAATCTGCATTTATTTCATTATTATTCAGCCTGCAAAATCTGTTTTTGTACAAGTGAAAATTAATTCTGCTGAGCTCTGAAAGACAATCAGTGGCCTTAACCTCGCTCCACAGGTAYATCCAGAATACAAATGCAGCATTCGGTCTCCAAGTGCCCTTCCCACTAAAACCTGAACTATTTATTTATTTAATAAATGAAATTGAAATGAAAGGAACAAAATTTGCATTTATATAACACCTTTCATCTACAGAGGATATCAAAGCACTCCACAAACACTGAACYGAAATTATTTCACAACAGACGAGGAGTGAGCAGCTCTGGACAGGAAGATTGAAGCACTGCACCCCACATTGAAACCTTGGGACAGCACAGCAAGGACTCCACTCCTGAGACATCAACATCATCTGGATTTATCCAACAATGGGATCCAACTCACTGCCTGAATGAGCTGGGGAGGATCCTGCACCCTCTGCACTGCACTTTACATAAGAGCAGTGTTTGGAAAAGAGCCAACAGCTCCATTATTTGGCGCCTCTGGCAGTGCCAGGCAGACCCAAATTAATTTTATTGTGGTGGGAGAGGCCTTTGCATCACAGTCCCAGCTCCTGGAGTGGGGCAGTGGCTAAAAAGAAAGGTGGACATAAAACCTGGTATCTTCAGCTGCCTTGGGTGAGGTGGGACAGCCTCAGATCTGCACTGCCCAGTGCCAAGGCCAAGGTRGGCCCAGCCACAGTGGGATGGAGGTTGTAAATGTGATGTGAACCATCCTTTTTTWAAATTTTTTATATGTTTTTTATTTAGTTTTGGGCAACATTTGTCAGAAAAAAATAAACAAGGCGCCACAAAAAAAATAGAGCTGTTTCTACAACTTTGACAGGATTAATAATCCATCATAGTAAAATCTGTCTGACAGGTCATTTCTACCTTTGGATTGGAAGTCAATAATTTAAATTGTCTCACAGGTCACATCAGTCTGTCCCATCATGTTTAATGACAAGTTAAATGACTCCTCTTCCAGTCAGCTTTTCCCAGCATAAAACCTGAAACTCTCCCTAYGCCTCCGTGAAGCTCCGGAAGAGCGAGACAAATGAAACGCTCAACGCTGGGATATTTGATGCCCAGGACATCTGTTTCTTCCATTTTCCTGGTAATTGAAAGCTTGCTGAAGAAATAATTTATTAAGTGATGAATAAACTCGGGATGCAAGCTCAATTTGTGCCCATTATTTCATTTGGCATATCATGTTCATTTAAAGAATCTGACACGCTGGATCAGATGGTCCGGTGTAGCGACAGAATTGGCACACACATGGAAACCCTGCAATGCTTCTTAAAAGGTCCACCCACACATGYCTGTCACACTTGACCGTGCAATTTACTCAAAATTCCCACAGCTCAAAAAGAAAGTTGGATTTTTTTTCTGTCTTTTGCTTCTGATAACAGAATCTCAAYGGTCAATTTGACCTTTCCTTCACCTCTTCCCCACATATCAGTGCCACAGAATGAACGGTTCACCAGTACTGCCAATGTTTAGAGTATTCTCCTTTTTTTGTGTGTCTGATAATGGCATTTTCCGTATGTCAGGTCACTAATGAACTACTATCATGTGGCCAATTCTGCAATCACACGGTGCATTATGTCTCACTGCTACACATGATCGTGGAGCACATTGCAGGGACAGACTGTGACTGGAACCAARCTCTTCCAGCAAGGCAGGGAAACTACAGGACAGAGATTTCAGGAGGTACAAGTTATAACAAAATTAAATTATAAAAAATCAGTATATGACACTGTAAGAATGTTATCCATTGGACAGAAGTAGTTACGGATAAAAAGGAGCCTATTTGARAAAGCACATTATACCATCTCCTCCCAACAAAATATTCCACCAGCAAACAGCAGAACCAAAACAAAAGCAAGAATAGGAAAACGTAAAACGTGGAGAGAAAAAAGAATCAAATCTACTACACAATCCTTTGAAAAGTATTATACAARGGATAACAGCAGAGCAGCAGGCCCTGAAACAGCAGTATTTAAAATACATGCATTTCATTACTACTTCCCAGATTTATTTTTTTTTCATTATTTTCATGGATCCTACAAGGCAACATCCGTGTTCCCTCTACTGGTCCTGCTGCAACAGTGCAATCAGCTCCATGGCGCTGGCCATCATTGACACTGGTTTGAACAAATATTTTACTGCTATTTCTCTAAACATCTGAAAGGGACAGCTTTCTAAATTACAAGTAGTTTGAAAAAAGAGCTTTCCTTGACTTCTCGATATTCTTTACTTTTCTCTTCAAGTTTTGGCCAGATCTTGCTAACTCACTCCCTGTGTTTACTGAGGTCTGCTACTGGAAGGCAGCAGTTTGTTTTGCTCACRTCCTAGACAAATTTCACCTTCATATTTTCCAAAAGTAACCAGCACTATGTTCAGAGCTAATATTGGTTCATTCYTCTTTCCGCCGTCAGGACGGGGTGGGGAAAAAGGCAAGGGAAAACCAATCTGATAAATATTTTCTAGTATCAGTGTATACTTTCTCAACAAAAGGAAACGTCACACACTTATTAACCTATTTATAAGCTAAAGATATACAGCAATACATGACAGTGGCTTGTTTACAGGGAATGAGTTATCAGGCACCCGGATGGTGCAGTCAAGCATCACAAAATTCCGTATKAGGCCTCTTCTTTATTAAGAGACAAAGTGGCCAGAGGAGGAAACAACAAACTAAATGAAAAATATTGACTGAAGAAAGAGATGGACGAGGAAGGATATTGAGGGAGACAGGGAACAAAGAGAGATGAAGYAAAGGCAGCAGCAATTGCTGTTGGGGGATGCAAAGCAGGAAGGAAAAAGCTGATTAAYGCAGCACAGAGATTCATGAGAGGAACAAGAGCTTGTGAAACAAGTCAATTAGTAGGAAAGACTATCAAGTGCAAGACAAATGCAAAACAGTGRAGTCTCAGGAAACTATAATGGCAAWATTAACCACTAAGTGTGGWTCATYCCCAGCACAATCTGCAGGCTGACTGRTATCAGTGGTCCAGAAACCCTCTCTGGAACAGCTCCCAGCCCTCAGAACATTAAAACTTAACCATAAWAACAAAGAAATTAAGGGTGAAGTGCCCCTGCTCTGCATGTCACTGCATAAAACATGGAGCAGGGCTGCTGACAGACACCCCACAGGTGCACGAGGGCTAAGAGAGGTAAATGTAGTAGGTTTGAATTTCAAGTCTCTGGTATGTTGTTACTATTTTGCTGTACAAGCAGGAGTTGAGAACTGGGGCACTCGTGCAAAGTGGTTTTGAAATTCTCCACTGGATTTAAATAATAAAAATCTTGAAATTAGATTTTATATAGTCAGGGAAGGCAAAAGCCCTACTCTTTCTGACATGGAGCATATATGTCTTTGTGGGTTATGAACAAACACAGGTAACTGCCACTCAGACCTCCAGAAAATAAATTTGCAGCAGGTAAGTCTGTGGTTMGGAACCACACAGCATACACTGTCTACCCCAACTCTGTACAAATTTTGTTCTAAAAGCATCAGGTGTGCAAAAACATAATCTTGTGACTGGGAGTCCCAAAAGCAGTTTCGTAAAGTGGAGCAGATGCAGGTCAGAGATAACACAGCTCCATCCTAGCTCTGAACGTGAGAAACAGTTCATCCTCAGCTTTTATTCCTCCTTTTCCCTCCAACTTCCCTCTTCCAAATCGATTACAAGTACCCTTTTTCTTACACAAGTTCCTCACAAAGCCCCTAGAAGCCATCCCAACTTGCATAAAGCCATTTATAAAGCTGTTAGGGAAAGAAAATCTTTAAAAGTGGAGAACAATTTACCAACTATAGTAAGACATATCTAAGAAATCTCCAGCATTTAAATAAGAAGTTGCAAAGCATCAGTTTTGTGCCAGCTCCCCTATTGTCCCGATTCTCGTTCAGCACATACTGGCACTCACTGAAATMCTCACAAAGCAATGAGAAAACACATGACTCGAGCAGCAGGAGAAAAAAAATAGCTACAGCTGCTCTACATAAAGTAAATTAGCAGGCTAAAGCCTGTTATGTGCGCTTTATCAGCGGGCTTAATGCTACTGCATTCATACTCCGTGCTTTTTGACACGCCTTGCAGAGGGCAGCAGCTTTGCCAMGGCATCGGCCAGAGCCCGTACCAACCCCGAGAAAAGGGTGGGAAGGAAGAAATGTAAATCTACACAACACGTCAAACGTTTCCACAGGGGAGCAGGTTTCTTTCACGGCCTTTCCGTGATCAGTTTAAGCTCGGAAGCGCAATACCCGATTACCCCTGTTGTGGCTTGCATTACTGACCAGAGCAGTCGTGATCGTGAATCAAATGAGCTCCGGACCCGGGATCTGSTTAGAAATAGCCCCAGGGTCGGGGTGGCACAGCCGGGAYRACCCCCGGGTGCAGCGGYYCTCAGAGAGATMGMGGCYYTGGGGAGGAGGAGGAAGGAGAAARGCTTYGCCGGGGGCAGAGCCGAGGCACGGGAGGGGAATGCCGGCAGGAGCGGCGCTAGGCCGGAGCAGGGGCACGGATGCACGGATGGGGACAGGTCCCGCTGCCGGGCGCTCACCTCCTTCCAGCGGAGCTGCCGCAGGCTGATTTTCAGGGCCTCCAGAGAGGTYTTGGCCTTGGAGCTGTCCACCGTGACCCCGGGCCGCTGAGCGCTCCGCTCCCCGCTGCGGCGGCCCGGGGCCCGCCG